CCGTGATGGGGGAGCTGCTGGTGGTGGGGGAGCGGCAGGACTGGCGGGAGCAATTCCAGCAGGACTGGCGCCTGGAGGCCCTGGCGCAGGACAGGTAGGGCTGGTGCGGCACCGGGCACCATGCCAGGGATGGGCTGTGCCCTGCTGCCCCCGGCACTGAGCCCCTGTCCCTGCAGGCAGGGCTTCGAGCCCATCTCGCCACCCTCTGCCAGCACTGCCAGCTCCACCTCCTACCCAGCATATTATGGTGTGGCAGCAGGCAAAGCTGAGCCGCTCAGCAAGGTGAAGGAGCTGCCAGAGGTGGTGGAGGGGAGCTCAGAGGACGACGAGGAGGATATGGACCGTGAGCTGGTGGAGAAGGTAAAGCGGGCACTGCTGGGAATGATGCCCTTGGGGTTCCCCACTGCCATCACCAGGTGCTTGTGGGGACCAGGGGCTTTTCCAGATGCTCACAGGGGCTGGGACATCATTGGTTGCTTGTGGGAACTAGGGGCATCGCCAAGATGCTCATGGGGACCAGAAATATTGCTGGGTGCTCATGGGGACTGGGGGCAATGCTAGATGCCTGGGAGGAGCAGGGGCATTGTTGCATGCTTGTTGGGCCTGAGAGCATTAAGAGATGCTGATGGGGACCAGGGGTGTTGCTAGATGCGTGCAGAGACTAAGACATTGCTGGGTGCTCTCAGGGACCAAGGGACATTGCTGGGTGCTTGTGGGTGCTTGGAGCATCACCAGGTGCTCACAGGAATGGGAAGCATTGCCAAATGTCCACAAGGACATCTCATGGGAACTGGCGGCATCACCAGACGCCTGTGGCATGTGGGGCCCAGAGCAGCATGGCACACCTGCACCTGTGTGCCAGACCCCAGCCTGATCAGGGGTGGCCCGGTCACCTCTGACCCCTTCCCTCTGGCAGCTGCAGCTGATCGAGAGCCTGAGCCGCAAGCTGGCAGTGCTGCAGGAGGCGCAGCGGGGGCTGCAGGAGGACATCAGCGCCAACGGGGCACTGGGCGAGGACGTGGCCGCCCGCCTGCAAGCCCTCTGCACCCCGGGGGAGTTCGACAAATACCGCCTCTTTGTGGGCGACCTGGACAAGGTGGTCAACCTCCTGCTCTCCCTCTCGGGACGCCTGGCCCGGGTGGAGACTGCCCTGGGCAGCCTGGGGCCACATGCCCCTGCTGAGGACAAGGTGGGCCCCGGGGCACAGGGGAACCTGTGGGGCATGGGACCACCCGCCAGTACCACTTGTCTTGCCCACAGGTGGCCCTGCGGGAGAAGCAGCGACTGCTGGTGGCGCAGCTGGAGGATGCCAAGGAGCTGAAGGAGCACGTGGGGCGGCGGGAGGAGGCAGTGGGTGCCATGGTGGCGCGGTACCTGCCTGCCGAGCATCTCCAGGACTACCAGCACTTTGTCAAGATGAAGTCAGCCCTCATCACCGAGCAGCGGGAGCTGGAGGAGAAGATCAAGCTGGGCCAGGAGCAGCTCCGCTGCCTGCGTGAGAGCCTCGGCCAGGCCCCCAAGGGCTGCTAGCCCCCTGCCCAGTTTTCTCCCAGGACTATGGCCCAGGCCCCAGTATGCTGCCAAAGTGGATCTGGCCCTTTGGGTGCTCTCCCTGTGTCCGTCTGTCCTACCCCTGCCTTTTATTTATTTTTCCAGTTTACCGAGCAGGGGAGGGGGTGCCAGTCCAGGAGCTGGCAGGGAAGGTTGTGCCACAGAGCTGCCCTGGGCTTTAGAAGCACCCCGTGGCCCAGCAGGACCAGGTGGATGGTTCCTGCCACCCCCACTCTGGGTCCTTCTGTGTCCACAGGGGTCCTTCCACCTTGTCCTGGACACCAGTTCCTGTCCTGCAGCTGAATGGTGGCGCGGTACCTGCCTGCCGAGCATCTCCAGGACTACCAGCACTTTGTCAAGATGAAGTCAGCCCTCATCACCGAGCAGCGGGAGCTGGAGGAGAAGATCAAGCTGGGCCAGGAGCAGCTCCGCTGCCTGCGTGAGAGCCTCGGCCAGGCCCCCAAGGGCTGCTAGCCCCCTGCCCAGTTTTCTCCCAGGACTATGGCCCAGGCCCCAGTATGCTGCCAAAGTGGATCTGGCCCTTTGGGTGCTCTCCCTGTGTCCGTCTGTCCTACCCCTGCCTTTTATTTATTTTTCCAGTTTACCGAGCAGGGGAGGGGGTGCCAGTCCAGGAGCTGGCAGGGAAGGTTGTGCCACAGAGCTGCCCTGGGCTTTAGAAGCACCCCGTGGCCCAGCAGGACCAGGTGGATGGTTCCTGCCACCCCCACTCTGGGTCCTTCTGTGTCCACAGGGGTCCTTCCACCTTGTCCTGGACACCAGTTCCTGTCCTGCAGCTGATGCTGTACCATGTGCCTTAAACAACCCCCTGGCTGCCCCGGGTCATTCTCATACAGTGCCTGGAAGGGTTAAACCATTCTTGCCCTCCACCATTCTCACCCTCCATTATGTCTGTTTGTCCAGTTCAGTCCATCTGTCCGGTGGGAGCTGGAGGAATTTCGGCCCCAGCATCCTCTTCCTCTCTATTGTGTCTGAAACAATGGCCCTGGCCAGCAGGTCCTTAACCCGTTCCCCTCCCAGGCATTGTAGGGGGCTGAGGTGAGTGCTGGTGGATGCTGTGCACCCCTCTCCTGGGAGACACTGCGGTAGATGTTCCCAGGCTGGTGCCCTGCCAGGGGGTGGAGTCCTGGGAGCAATAGACTGGGGCTGCGGGTGCTCACTGCGACCACTGTGGGCACAGGGACCACCTGGCCTCATCCAGCCCTCACTTCCAGCCTCTGCCTGGCACTGAAAGAGATTAAGAGAGGAAAAAAAAATCACACTAAGGAGGAAATGGGGTACCTGTCCCCCTCCTCTGTGCTGCAGCAGTCCCAAGTAGCACTTAGCCCTCACCCTGGGTCACCCCACAATGCAGCACTGTCCATCTGTCCCCACGGGATGGGTGGGTGCCTCGATGCTGATTTTGCACAGAAGTTTCATGCAACTGGCAGCAGCTTGGGGCTGAGGAGGGAAGAGTTTTGGGAAGGAAGGGTGGGCCCCAGCCCCTTTTTGGCAGGGAGCCATGGCCAGACAGCCCTCTCCCCTCATCGCCCCTCCAGGCCTGTTGAACACTAAGCCCCATATCTGCCTGGGCCTACCCTGGGACAGTGCCTGGCAGGAGAAGGGTCCCCAGCATACCCTCTTTCTCAGCCACCCCCTGTGCCTGCCTGGGGACACAGCTAGCACCAAAGATGGCACCCACTGGGGGCTGGGGACATTGCTCTCCAGAGGGGGCCGGCAGCCCTCACTGCACTGGGGGAACCTGCCCCTACCTGTGCCTTGCCACGTGCCGTTGTGCCTCTCTCACACTAAAGGAGCAGCAGCAGCTGCATAACTGTCCGAGTTGTGTCTCGTGTGGTTTGTCCCTGTGTCCTCAGCCAGTGGTGCTGGGGCTGGTGGATGCTCCAGCTGGGGGGTGCCAAGCTCTTAGCAAGCTCTTGGGGCCCAAATGCCCTCCCTGGCACTGCAGGCACCTGTGGTGCAGCCGTGGGCAGGGAGTCGCCTGCACCCAGTGCCACCAGGCTAGGTCTGGGCAGGGGACAGAGCCTGCACCCCTCCCCAGGGGCACATGGTGAGGGTACAACACTCGGGTGATGGTTTTAGCCGCTTCCCTGACACTCGCAGTCGTAGCGTCGCCACTGGGCCATTTGGGCAGGCACCGAGGAGGGTCTCTCGGTACCGGGGGCGCTCGGCACGGGGCGGCTGCGGCTGCTGCTGCTGCTAGAGCAGCGCTGCCTGCTGGGGCCGCCGGCGCTCGCGTGCGGGAGCGCGCACCTGTGGGTGCGCGGGCACGCGCCCCCGCCCGCACACCCTCGCTCGCGCATCCACCGGTGCGCGCGCACAGGCAAGGACACCTCCCCCCAGCCCAGGTTGCTCCAAGCCCCATCCCACCTGGCCCTGCACCCTGCCAGGGATGGGGCCGCCACAGCTTCCCGCGGCAACCCGGGCCAGGGGCTCGCGACGGCACAGCCAAGAATTTCTGCCTCAGGTCCGGTCTAAATCTGCCCTCTTCCAGCTTAAAATCCTCGCCCCTGCCCTGTTCCGGCAGTCTCCATTAAATAGTCTCTCTCCATGCCAATGCACATGTAGGCTTGTGCTCATATGTGCATGGCCAGTGTGCGTGCTTACTCCCTCTATCCGTGCGCGTGCCCCTGCCCGTGGGGGCGGCGCACACGTATGTGCACAGTGGCAGGGGCTGTGCTCACCCACGCCTGTGCACACGCAGGTCCCTGGATGCGGGGCGTGTCCTTTTCCACGCCTGGGCTGTGCATGTCTTTACACGTGTGGCAGCGTGCACACGTATGTGCATGGCAGCGGAGCATGTGCTCGCCCGTGCATGTACACGCGTGGGCGGTGCTCACGCGTGGTGATGCACGGTGCGGTGCTCCCCTGCCTATGCCCGTG